CCCCACTTGTTTTCCTCCACAGCCTCAGCAGCAGCAAGACAGGTTTGTCTCACCCCAGGAGAAGTTTGGAAGTCGGGTGGCTCAACGACACCCAGGACGCCATTTTTTAAATTCATCTTCTCTTTTGCATCTTTGGTGTTTTTTTGCCTCTCATCATCCCACCATGGCTGCCACAGTTCCAGACATCACATCCCAACCTCCAAAGTTGTCCCCAAGCAGCTGCCCTGTCACTTCCTGGCTGAAAGTGGGACACGTCTATGCCCAAGGCAGGGGGAGTACCAGGGGAAATGGAATATCTGGGGAAAGCATCAAAAGCTGATTCCTGGGGGTAGGGAGAGACCTGGTGTCCTCCCCCCCCCCCATTCCCTTCCCTGTGACCCCTCCTTGACTTGAGCAGTAGCAATTTAATGGAAAGAAGAAAAGGGATGGCTCTTCACCTTGTAATACATGTTCTGATAGCAGGAGCCCAGGGCATTGTGGGAATACTATGTATGGAGCATGTAGACGGCTAGGGCTACATAGCAAAGTACCAAGACTTGGTACCTGAAACAACAGAAACATTGTCTCACGGTTCTGGAGGTTAGAAGTCCAAGAGGAAGGTGTTGTTGGCAGGGTTGATTTCTCCTGAGGCTGCTCTCCTTGGTTTGTTGATGGCTGTCTTCTCCCTGTGTCTCACGACCTTCCCTCTGTGCGGATCTGTGTCCTCATCTTTTTTTAAGGACTCCAGTCATTGGATTATGGCCCATCCATAGGACCTTAGTTTACCTTAATTACCTCTTTAAAGACCTTATCTCCAAATATAGTCACATTCTAAGGTCCTGGAGTTGGGACTTCAACATATGCATTTGGGGGGATGGGATACAAGTCAGCCCATAACAGAGTATCCACTCTGTGTAGGTCCCGTGCTGGGCACCAGGAAGGCAGCGTTGACCCAGCTACAAAAGGTGTCTGAATGCCCAGGGAGGTCTAGGGGATCTCAGGAGTGCACAGTGGGGGACGCCAGCTCTGCTCTGGGGCTCAAAGAGCCTGAGGAGCTGACTGGCTGAGATCTGAAGGGTGAGGGGTGGAACAGAACAGGAGGGTGAAGAGGGCCCCGGGCAGTGGGAACTGTGAGTACAGATCCTGGAACCGAGAGGCTCTGCTTTGAGAAGGCGGGAGGGCAGGGATAGTGAAGGCTGACCTTGGGGAGGAGCTGTGCCCTGCCCCCCCCATTTCCCCACACTAGGGGTGCCCTCTATTCAAGCCTCAGCCTCTGGTTAGCATCATAGTTGCAAAACATTACCCATGCTGATTCCATTTATAATTCTGCCCTGTCCTTTTCTACGTAAATATGTAAATGTATGCTGTAAATTTTGGATCTACTTTTTTTTTCCCCCCCTCAGAATGATTAGAATTACAGTTCATCTTGAAGTTGTAGGTCCATCTGACTGCTGATGGAATTTGCCGGACAGGGTAAGGAAACTATTGCCTTCTTCACAGCTGGCAATAAGCAGAAGCTAGTGGGCGCTCTGAAGATGTAATGTGCTAGGGGCACCTGGGTGGCTCAGTCGGTTGAGCCTCTGACTTTGGCTCAGGTCATGATCTCAGGGTTCACGAGTTCGAGCCCCAAATTGGGCTCTGTGTTGGTAGTGGGGAGACTGCTTGGGATTCTCCCTCTCCCTCTCTCTCTCTCTCTCTCTCTCTCTGCCCCTCCTCTGCTCACACTCTGTCTCCCCCCAAGTAAACTTTCAAAAATAATAAAATGAGGTTAACAACCCCTTTCTGGAAGGTTGGAAACAATTCTGCTCTCCTTAGGACAGCCATGTGGGTGACTCCTCTGATTCTCCTTCACCCATCTCTGCCCACCTTCTGGTTCCTGTCCCAGGGTCCTCACTGGTGTCCCTTATCTCCAGTCTCGCCTCCTCCCTATCCTGCTTGCAAGGGCAGGCAAGAGTGTCAGTCTGATGGATCTTACTCTGTGTAAACCTCCATGGCTTTCACATCCCTTATGATTGGGTCCAAGGGCCTTTGTCTGGTGTTCAAGGCATTCTGTAATCTGACCCCACCTCCCATGCTCTGCTCCAGGCTTGCTGAGCAGCTGGGAGTTCCCAGAACCTGAAATCCCCAGGCCCCCTACTTGAAATGCCCTTCCCTATGTCTTGGCCACCTGCCTGGAGATCCTCCAAAGGCTTATCTACTTTCTTCCTTGAATTGAATGCCTGCTTATTCTTGTCACAATACAGTACCTAACAACTGATAACGGACGATGCCTACATTTGTGGAGCGTTAATTACGTACCAGGCACTTTCTAAGTATTATACTTGATACCCCTCCCATTAGAAAGTGGAGTTTAGATGCTTCCTGTTGAATATGAGCTGGCCCTGGCAACACAACTTCAGTGGATAGAAAGCGGAGGTGACACTGGTAGAGATGAGACAGCTCTGACCTTGGAATATTTGTCCTTAGAACCCAGCTGCCATACCGTGAGGAAGCCCAAACCGCAGGGAGAGGACACGCCACAGGGAGAGGACACGTGTAGTGACGCTGGTCGGCAGCCCCAGCAGAGATTCGAGGCAGAAGCCAGTGCCAGCCACCAGATGTGAGGAAGCCTTTAAGGTGAGCCCAGCCCCAGCCAGTTTCTGCAATTGCATTAGATACCTTGAACAAGAACCAGCCCCAGAACCGTGAAAGAATAACAATTGTTGTTGCCTTTTACCGCTAAGTTTGGAGTTGTTACACAGCACTGTATAACCAGAACAACTTGCATTAACTGATTTAGTTCTTCCAACAACCCTAGGAGAGGGAATGGCTGGGCAACGTTCCCAAAGTTACAGCATGAGTAAGTGGTAGACCTGGGATGTGAACCCTGGTAGAGGTACTACAGAGTCAGGGTCATAGCCGTCAGTCTCTGTGGCCAAATCCTCAGTCCATACGGTTCAGATGGAACTGAGCCCACCTTGGGCCTTCAGGCACAAGCCCGTAACCCATTATCAGGCCACCTTTGGGCACCACGATTGGTTTGGTGATGGGCTCATGATGAAACTGGATCATTGAGTGCCAGCACTGGAAACTTTGCTGGTTTTACAGAGAAATAGAAATAGACCCACTGGAAGGGTGCCTGGATGGCTCCGTTGGTTAAGCATCTGACTTCAGCTCAGGTCATGATCTCACAGCTTGTGGGTTTGAGCCCCCTGTCGGGCTCTGTGCTGACAGCTCAGAGCCTGGAGCCTGTTTCAGATTCTGTGTCTCCGTCTCTCTCTGCCCCTTTCCCGCTTGTGCTCTCTCTCTCTCTCTCAAATGAATAAACATTTTTAAAAATTACAAAAAAGAAAGAAATAGACCCACTGGAATCATGTAGTTACTGGTCTATCTTAGCTACTGTGAGGAGATCCTGTCCAAAAGTATAGCCAAGAAAAAGATACAGATAGATTCCTAACATTTAAGGACCTAGATACAGCCAATCCTGAAGCTTATCACTGTTGGCTAAAGATACTTTGAACTGAGTTTCTCTTGCTTCTGAAAGAGGCCTGCTACTCTCCCAGTGAGGCATTTCTCTTCTATCCCATCTTCCACGAGGGCAGAGAATGGTCCTGATCTACCTAACTCAGAACAGGAGGCATCCGTCAATCGTGTCCTATTGGACAGAACTAAAAGGCACACTGCCCCTGCTTTACTGGTGAGGAAACTGAGGCTGTCATAGGGCCTGTGTATAGGAGGAGGAGGAGGATTAGGAGTAATGCTTACATCCCAGATTTTAAATGAGTCAAGTCATGTGAGGTCGAGGACTGGGATTTGGAAGAAAGGGAGGAAGAAGGAAGGGGGTGTTATGCCAGCCACTGTTGGGTCTGCTTAGAAGGGAGGGCCATGAAGCTTGTCTTGAGGTCTGTACAAGTCAAGGAGCTTCTTGGACCTCGTGGCACACACTTGGGGAGCATACCTCTTGCCCTTGCCAGCCCCTCTTCTGGACCCCTTTCTGTTTCTGACACCTGGATATTCCAAGTTATGAAATTGCTCACAATATAGGCTGTCATTTACATGTTAGTGTGAATCACTTATTAATTCTCGGACCTGAGGCCTCTGAAGTGACATTTCTGGCAGCTATCCTTCCCGCCTGTTTTCCCAAGAAGCAGCCACATCACGGTGCTTTCGAGCTGGCAACTTTATTCAGTGGGGGAAGAGGGGAAAATGAGCTAGAGTTGGGCTATTTCTCTAATAACCTGGACAAGGGCTAGTCTCTGGGACTCCAGAAGGAGGGACAGGACTTTGGAAGCTAGAAAAACGGAGAGGGAGAGGGGTGGCGCTCTGGGTGTCTTGGGCGGGTGGGGGGAAGGGACGCATCTTCCATCCAAGGCCCAGCGCCCCCTAGGGGCCGCTGCCGCTTCCACTACCACTCCCGCTGCCCGCAGCATCCAGGATCCAGGTGCGGGAGCGGCGGGACCGCGGGAAACTGATTTCCCGGGCCCTCCGTTCGTGTCTGCGACCCGGAAGTACCGAGATGGAAATGTTGAGGCAGTGATCCGCGCCAGGAGCTGCTACCGGCAGCACGTAGCCCAGGACTGAGCGGCAAAGGTCTGCCCCATCGGCAAACGTCTGGGAAAAGGGGTGGAGTTAGGGCCCGAGTGGGCGGAGTCCAGGCAACTCAGGGGCGTGGCCTTGGAAACCTAGAGTCCCCGAGTTTCTTTGCAAGTAGGGGCCAGGGCAGAGGCGCGGCCTAGGTGCGGGCAGTTACCCGCTTTGGGTCCTCCCGGGAGTGTGGGAGCAGGGCCATGGCAGGAGCGGAGTACAGGGGAGGGCGAGTTATCCTTCCTGGGCCCCAGGGCTGGGGTGGGGGAGGGTCAAATTAAGATTGGGGCTTTAGAGAAGGTAATTCGGGCTTCTGAGTCTTCCAGGGGGAACTGTGGATGGGCCTAGAGCAGAGACGGTCCCTTGGGAGGCCAAATCCAGACTCAGTGGTCCCTAGGGAGCATACGGACGTATCCCACTATGGAGATTGTGCTGCGGAAGGGGGAAGCGTGGGAACAGGAGCCTTGGGAGTGCCAGTCCGGACTCCGGGCCCTAGGCGGGTTAAGACAGGACATAGTAAGGGGAGGTCCCAGTCTCTCACCCACACTCTCTGTCTCAAGCTCACCTGCTCATACGTAGCGCAGCCAGGCTCACAGTCCCTCTTTTCTGGGAACGGAAGCCAAGTTGGGCCGCAGGTAATATCGCTTTCGCAGGTGGCAAACCTACGGATGGTGTGTGGAGAGAAGGTGGGCAGTCGCGTTCTGTTGGGATCCTGCCCTCCAAGGCTTCACTCAGTGTATGTCCCGCCCCCAGACCCAGGCCCCGCCTCTTAGGAACACGCCCCAACAGACGCTGTCCTCCAGATTTCACCCTACCCTATATTCTCCACACATACCCGGGGCTCTGTCACAATTGACCTCATCCCTGCAGACTTCGTACCATCTATTTCGGGCCAGCCTCTTACGTTCCCCAATCTTTTCAGCTCTCTTTTCTAGCAAGAGGTCCCGCCCCTTAAAAAACCCCAGGTCCGTGGAAGGCCACGCCTCCGTCCTGCCAACCTTAAAAGCCGGGTCCTCTACAGGCCCCCGTCCCTTTTTACCTGGCCTCTAAACTCGTTTTTAGACCTTGGCCTTATTGGAGGCAGGCCACACCCCTTCAAACACAAGCTGCAGATCCCTCCTTTGGTCCCGCCCAAACCATAGGACACGCCCCTCATGCCCCACCTCCCCTACCAGACATCGCAGAGCTCAGAACAGAGCGGCTGCGCCTGGCGTATCCCCAGTAGCAGCAGGCGGAAGCGACTCTGGAGGGCAGCTTGGAGATGTCCCAGGAAGGATTCGCACCTGAACATCGGGAAAGACAGGCTCGTTTGGGTCAGGATGTGGCAGGGCCAACTGAAGCAAAACACACAACGAAACGCTGGCGGGTACTGTACTCACCCAGGGCTCGGCTCCCCACAGCGTTCTGGGACCGCCCCAGGGTCCGATGCCTCTGGCGTGTCCATCTCTGAAGGACAACAGGACCATGGAGAAGGGTACTCCTGTGAGGTGGGGTCTTAGATCCTCAGGTAGGATTGGGGAACTAAGGCCTGGGGGCCCCTTGAACAGGGGAGACCCCAGTTATGCCAGGGCCCCTCAAACATAAAACTTAAATAAAGACACTTCTCTTGGGATCCAAATGCAATTTCTAGTAATAATAAAAATGATGGCTTATCATAATCAGCTTATCGTTCATTACGTCCCTGATAGTGGTACACGTTTTCATATGCTTACATACACACCTTCATAACACTATGACGTAGGTCTATTATTTCTCTCCCTTTTTCATGGTCTACAGGAAGCCCAGAGAGATTAAGTGACTTGCTCAGAGTCACACAATTATGAGGTGGGACAGCTGGGATTTGAACCCAGGCAGTCTGAGTCCAGAATCTGTGCACTTTAACTACTATTCTTCAGCACTAGCCCCGACTGCCCACCTCCCCCAACCCGTGCTTCATCCTAAGCCCCTCTCAGAAGGAAAATATGATATTGCTGTGGTGATGTGGGATTTCCTGGGCGTTGGAAGTTAGGTAGGGTCTGGAGTGCTCACCCGCAAGGTGCAGCTGGACTGTGCCGAAATCGGTCCCCAGCCTATGGTGTCTCCGGGACAGAGCTGGGAGTGGGCGGCTCCCTCCACAGGACCCCAGCAGGATCCACACCAGGGTCAGTCTTAGGGCCCAGGGCAGGCCCCTGGGTCGAGTGTGGCCCCTGCAGGCCATGTCTACCTGAGATAAGAGTAAGCTGGGGTATAGGGTAAGGTTTGGTTGTCCCTTTCTGGAAGCTCAGGGTGGCACTCTCCTGATGCCTACTCAGGAGACAGTGCAAGGCAGAACAGAGAATGAGCAGTTGATGAGGAGGCAATGACCAAGGACCTCCAAATCCCAGGGGGCCACCAAGTCGTGCCTCTGACCCAGGAGCCCCTTCTCCCCCACCAGACTCATGTCCCCTCCATCCCTTTAGGCCCAATGCGTCCCACCCTCCGGTTTGACCACAGTTCCCCTCCCCCTCACACCCAGCAGGATCTCCCACCCTGTCAACCCTCGGGTGACTCCCGCTGTCTTCAGAACTAAAGGGACACCCCAGCTCTTTCAATCTCCCTCCTCTGTCCAGCAGTTCCTCCTGCTCTTTTGCCCAGTCTCCTCCCTCCCTCTTGATCCCTGCTGGCCCCTTTCATGGTCACCTTCTCTCGGCCCACAATCGGCTTAGGGGCTTCCACTATGGCTGGCCCTTTGGAGCCAAGCTTGGCTGTGGCAGGACTCGAGTTTTGCTGCTGGAATCCAAAAGCCCCAGGGTAGGGGAAGCTGAGGGTCTGTAGGGACAAGACAATTCCCTCCCCTCCCCTGCCCTCTTGGGCTACCCCTCACCTGTTAAGTGAACTGAGGTCTAGAGCGCTGCTGAGACACCTCACGGTCAAGTGCAAGAAAGAGTGACAGCCAGAGGGGGTGTGGTCTGACGCAGAGGAGGAGTTTCCCATGGCCCCACCCCCTGCCCCAGCTGACCAAAGGCCGGTGGCCCTGGGCTGCTGTGTATATATCCTTGCACTGAGCATTATGTTGAGATTGTGGCTTAAACTCAATCTGTGTGTATATGTGTTGGATGAGAGTGTGTTTGTATGGCTGTGTGTGTGTAAAGCATGTGTGTTTGTTGGGTGAGGGTATGGTATGTGTGAGTCTTGGTTGAGTGGTTTTGTGTGTGTGTGTGTGTGTGTGTGTGTGTGTGTGTGTGTATGTGTGTGTGCAAAATCTGGCTAAGGAGGCCTGTATGTATCTCAAGCCAAGTGTGTCCAATTGAGTCAGATATAATAAATGTGAAGGACGGGGAAGCAGGATTAGGATGGCTGTCCTGTGACAATGTTGTGGATAAGTCAGTGGATAAAGGTTTTTGGCCATGAATGTTGACCATTAGTGAACACAAAGGGGTGTTTATATGTGTGGAGAGAGTATGTGTCTGCATCTGAAACGTGTGTGTGTGTTTCTCTGCAGTTTCTGTGAATGCAAGTTTCTTACAAACATTCCCTCAATTCATCCATCCATTCAACAAATGTTTGTTGAGCAGCTGTTGTGTGCCAGGTCCTGGGGATGAAGTAGTGACCAAGAAATGAATATCTCAGCCTCACAGAGCTGACATTATAGTGGGAGAGTCGGTGAGAGGAACAGTCCTGCAGTGGATATGTGAGTGTGTGTGTGTGTGTGTTCATGTGTTGTGTCGGGAGGATACTGTGTCTGTGTGCTGGAGGAGAGTTTGTGTGTAGCTGAGCTGAGATTGGTTTTGGTATGATGTGTGTGTGCTTGTGTTTGTTGAGTGTTTGTACATGTTGTCTGTATGTCTGTATTCGCTGCGTGTGTGTATATCTGTGTTTTCTAACATTACTGTGTTTGCATACGTGTGTCTTTGCAGAGTGTGAGTTGATGTGTATATGTGTTTGTATGTGTCTGTATTTGCTGATTTTGTGTTTGCATTCTGTGTTAATGTGTTGGTAAAGGATTCAGTGTGTCTGTGTTTGCTAAGTGCATATTTGCAATGTGTATGTGTTTGTGTGTGAGTCTGTGTTTGCGGAGAATGTGTATGTGTGTGTATTTTTGACAAGTACATATTTGCAGAGTGTGTGACTATGTGTATGTGAGTCTGTTTCCTGAGCATGTGTTGGTATGTTCGTGTTCGTGTATATATGTGTAGCGTGTGTGTGTGCCTGTGCTTGTAGTGTGTGCATGTGTTTTTGTGAGCACTGACCACTACCACAAATCTCCCTGTCTTATCAGGCTAATGCAGAGTTTTTGTCTGTCTCTTTCACTATGGGACGCTCAGATCTCAAAACACTACTGTGCACATAGTGCGTGCTCAGTACGTGTTGAGTAAATGAGCCATTTAGGAGGTGCTGTCTCCTGGCCCCTAATGGGCACCCACTAATGTCCTATAGGCTTCAGAAATCAAGATATAGTGGATCTCACCTTCCCCTTGTCCATTTTTGGGTAGGCCAGGGTGCTCGTGTGTCAGATATGTCCAGGCTTTGGGCTATGCCTTTCGCCAATCCATTCCCTCCCCTGTCCTCAGCTCCCAACGCTGCCCTCGGAATTCAGCACCGTGGACAGGAGCGCATGAGATCAGCACCACGGAGAGCTCCCACGAAGCCAGCTTTAGAAGGGGTGACAAAAGCGGAGTCTGGGCCTTCGACAGAGAAGTTTGAGAAACAGACTCAGCGACATGGCAAACAAACATGCCGACAAACAGAAAAACATTGAAATAACTCGGGCAAAGGCACAGAGATGAGGAAACAAGCGTCTGGGGAACACCTGGACCTAGACCTTGCCTTGCCATCGCCCTCATTGGCCGGCAGGGGTCGCTTCCTTCAGTGACCGCGCCCTCCAGGGCCTTCCTGGCCAATTATGGGCCAGGACCCTTGGGAAGCCCCT